GGAATTTCATTGATTCCTTAGCCCGTCATATGAACTTCTCACTCCTATTTGAATGAGCAATGAATTTATTAGGGTGTAAGCAAAGAGCGCAAACTTTTTCGGAAGGCACTTTTCTGTATGGAAAGAGTAGCGAAAGGGAGGTTCTAGAAAAAATGAAATGGAAACGGGGGTGATATGGGATGTGCCAGTAGTAAATATAGGACCGCTAACTTCCTTAGTAGAAGTGAATTCGAAAAATCCTGCCCGTCCAAACACTTCGAAAAGGACAAGTTCTTCCGAAAAAGACCTACGGCTACCTCGGAATTGAATGATTCCAATAAAGTGAATCGAAATTTCGTGAGTTCCCTCAAAAGAAGTGGCGCTATTCCATGTCGCAATAGCAAAACCGGCTCGGACCTTGCACGATAATATCTTCTGAACTGAAGGCCACGTTGGGTTCGGTCTTATGCAGACCACGCGCTTCTTCAGCCCTCATAGATCGCACGAACCTCGTCACCGCCGGGCACCGATCCCGCGACCGTTTCAACGGCGCCGCCCCATCATCGCATTGAACCACAACGCTTTCGCTTGCAGGAAATCGACGACGCTCGTAAGTCGGCCGGCCGAGTGCTGCTGCTGTGTGCGATGGGCATCTCCCGTTCGGCTACCTTTGCAATAACGTACCTAATGTGCATAGAAAAGTGAGTTCACCAGTACTGCTCATACAATCTGAGCAGTACCGCAATTATTAATTATTATTTAGATTTTTATTTATTTACCACTTATATTTTAGAATGTCCTTACACGACGCCTATAAGCACGTGCAGTACTGTCGCAATATTATCTGTCCAAACATTGGTTTCTTTCAGCAAATGATCGATCTTGAACATAAGGTACGTTTTTTACGGGTGCCATTTGCCTGGGGGCACCTTTCAGCTCTTTTTTTTCGCACTGAACGCGTCGCGTTGGTCGTCGGTTTGGAGACAGCCCACTGCATCTTCAGATTGATGGCCAGAATTCCCTTCGGAAGCATTTTTCACTATGCGTCCTTTAATAGCGACCAGAGTCAAGAATTGTCAAGCTCACACAAATATCCCATCTATCTTCCGCGATCTCGGCCTGCTCGACGGCCACCGCCGTGTTGTCACAGCGCCCAGACATTCCATTTTTCCAATTTTGCAGCGTTCTGAAACGATTTGTTTCAGCTTTACGGGACAAAAACGGTGCACATTATCGAGCCGATTCCTGGGGTAAAAGTGGCTGACGTGGTTTGGAACGAGCTCTATCAGGAAATGATGGACAGTCTGAGTGAGGCCGACCGACATTCCGTACGATCGTACAACCCTCGTCCTGATTCGGTAAGTTGCAGAGTTAAGAACCGTTCGCCAGTAAATCGCTTTGTTCAGGCTCGTCAGCAGGACACAAGATCTCTTCGTTCGCTGAACCTCGTCGCTGAGGAGGTGGAGGGGGCAGTCAGGTACTGGGATGAACCTCAATCTGTGACTCCTTTGAACTACTCTATTGCAGGGAGTTGTCATCATGCCGTCTTGCCGATGCCCAAACACCAACTAACGATGGGGCTCTACAGGTGGAAGTGGCTCCACGTGTGCCTGCGCTAGTGAGCACGACTCCAAACCCGTATCCCAAGAGTGCCTTGCGGGACAAAAGCAAAAGCAGCAAGAATAAGCGATGGCGGTTAAGTTTCAGCAAAGATGTCACCTGACACCGCTTGGGAACTGTAACCACTTTTTGCACGGTTCGTTCACCGGTACTTTTCATCTTCAGATGCTCTCGTTTCCCGATAGGAACCGCTTGCTCTGTACATAGTACGGTGAGTCGGGGTTTTCCGTGCACCCTTCGGCTCTCCACTCTAACTGATTTTCTTCGTAGTCTCGCCTGTTATTTAATCTGGCCTCTCATAATTGCTCGATTGCTGTTGTATTATCATCTGAATGGATAAATGTGTTTTTTCCACCATTTTGCCCAGCAATGGGAGCTCTCACAAGCACTTTTTGCGAACAGCAGCGCTTCACTGTAGCCTCAAGAGGAATAATCCCATGGGCCCAATGACCAATGGATGAGGGAGTTGCTGCTGCCGCTTTGTTACCAGCTGAGGCTGTTTCAACCAGGAATGCACGATTGGCTGGAGGAAAGTAGGAATGGGGGAGGGGTGGGTTACTCCTTTTCGGAGGATTCGATCTCCCAGCTTCCACAGCATCCTAAAGAAGCTGTGGCTATACAAAATGTCCAAGTGGAGAAAGAGAAGAAATGACGTCAAAAATTCAGAGTTCGCGCCATCAAACGCGAGGAAGTGGAAATCAAAGACTAAAAATTCTATTTGGGTCAACACTTGATAAGCACTGACCTACGCCTTTTCGGCAGACGTTCTACTTTGAGGCATAACTGTAGTGGTATCTGAATACGATTTGGGCTAAGCAAGTACACAGGGGGCCGTCCTTGCATAGGTGAGTGCCCTTTATCCTCCCAAACAATCTGGCACGATTGAAGATCCCAGAGCGGTGGAAAGTTCGGTTAACCAGGGCCGGGGTGCATGACCGCACATTTGGTACCTGAAACGCGCACACCTAGAATCAAATACCGGGTCTGTGAGCAATCGAAATCTAAATCTGCTTGCAAAATCATCAAGGACGAAAATGTAGAGTGGGAAAAAACTACGGTAACAAGATCATGGAAACCTTAGCGGCTAGAAAGACATGTGGACAACAATAGTACAGGGTGGGCCAAAATATGGTAATTCAGAAATTACCTCTCCGTTATATAAACCAAAGCTTTGGTATGTCGGTTTGTTTGTGTGTATTGTGCAAGTTTGTCTGTCTGTCCGCAAAATGAAGTGGGTGATAAGGCAACCCAATGGAAGAGATTAGCCGTTTAGACAGAGTGAACACCCGAAGTAAGCGTAAATTACGATGTTCTTGCCGTAGTCACGTACAACATGAACGGCGCTCAGTACAGTTGGCTAGTTTTCTCGACGCAAGCTCTCTTCGTTGAGAGAGCGCAAAGACGAAAAGCAGGAAGCGAGCACACATTTCAGCTCGTCAATGCGTCGCGCATTGTACGTGACCACAGTGGAAAATTATAATTCACGTTTACTTCGGATGCTCGCTCTGTCCAAACGGCTTAAGTCCCAATGGAATAAACAAGCCGCTAACAAATCTCGGTACCTCGCAGGGCTTGTCCCTGTCAATGTTTTGCAATGGCATGATTGTGATTCTCCCGAACGGCTAAAGACCTACTTAGCACATTTCTGTTCATTCCACGTGCTGCAGTGGCAGCTGGAGAGCAAGGAGGGCAGTAACAGAGAAGGTTAGGGGAGGCACGCAAAGCTCAAGCAGTGGAAGGGCCGATATCGGGGTCGCCGGGGTGCCAGTCTGGTACACTATAAATGAGTTATAACCTTGATGGAACCTAAATTAACTCAAAAAGAACAAATGAGTCGCAATTTTGTTGTTTGTGTGTGGTGTTACGACTGAATGTCCTCTTTGGGTATGCATGTATTAAATTTGAAGGAATACGAAATGGATCAAAGAGAATTCCTTTAACCTGCATTTAATTTTGCTAACTCGATAGAGTCATTTATAGAAGCGCTCGCATTTTAGCACTTCTTATATGCTTCGCAACGAAGAGCTTACTTCTCAGAAGTCGTCTCTCTCCAGAGCTATCCTCTTGATGAGAGATGGAAAGCAGAGCATAAAAGAGATGGCTACCTTACCTGAACTTAATTGTATCGTTCGATTGGGAACGTCACTATCGTTCGATTGGAACGTCACCTGCTATAATCAAAACGAAGTATCAGATTTCGTACCTAGAGGACTATTATCTCGCTATTCTCCGGTCTGTCGTACATATGCACAAAAAGTATTAGGTTGGCCAATGTCGTTTTTGATCATCAATTATTTTCATTATAAAAAACAATAATGAAGCACATCAACCTGAATCTCCTTCACCTGTGTCACAGGCTCATCACCTTTCGTTACGCAAAGCATGGATGCCTACCGCGTAGAACTCTTTCTGGTTCGACTCGAAGAAGTTGGGCACTCAAATTTTGACGTCGTCGCGGTTATCGAATTGGTTTGCTGCTAAGGAGTGTTGCGCTGACCTGGTCAGTGATAGTCGGACGGCGCCAGACCTGGGCTATATGGCGCTGGAGGTAGAACGTCCCAGCCCAACTCCTCGATTTCTTGTTGCGTGATTTTCACGACATGTGGTCTTCCGTTATGGTGCAATAGTTTTACATTGGCCGAATTCACCCCTTGACGACGCAGAGCTCGGTCGGGCTGTTGTGCGCAGGCTTCAGCTGTAACTGTCTGACCCACAATCAGCTCTCCATAGTAGGCCAGTCTTATACTGTTCCACCACACCGTAGCACGACTTTTTCTCAGTGGGTTTCAGAGAGGCCCTCAGCTGCCCATCAGCCGCCAACCACGGTCATCTTCTCGCGTTGTTATTGGGAAACATCTCTTTGTAAAATGCGGTCAACACGAAGTCAAGAACCTTTTTCCTCTTGAAGTTATGGAGCGAAGTTCCAGTATTGGCAACCAGTACTGCTTGCTCGCGTCGCTCAGAATAGGCCGAACCCATTTTCTATCCTGAAAGGCCTTAACAGTCGCACGTAGGAACTTTTAAATTTTTCTGTTGACACAACTGAATCTCCATGCAAGTTTTGTGCGGTTTGTCGAGGACTCAATTCGTTGGCTTTCTTTATTTCTCCGTCATCTAGAGCTAGAGGTCAAAATCCACGACCTTCGTTC